TTTCTTTCTTTCTTTCTTTCTTTCTTTCTTTCTTTCTTTCTTTCTTTCTTTCTTTCTTTCTTTCTATGTTTATTTTATTTTTGAGACTGAGAGAGACACAGCATGAGCAGGGAAGGGGCAGAGAGAGGGATACACAGAATCCAAACCAGGCTCCAGGCTCTAGGCTCTGAGCTGTCAGCACAGAGCCTGATGTGGGGCTCAAACTCACAGACTGTGAGATCGTGACCTGAGCCGAAGTCAGATGCTTAACTGACTGAGCCACCCAGGTACCCCGATTTTTTTTTAATATAGTCCAATGTATCATTTTTTTTCTTTTTATGGTATGTGTCCTTTAAAAGAAATACTGTCCTACTCCAAAATCACGATTTGTTTCCTCTGGATATTTTGTTGTTTTGCCTATTGTGTTTGGATATACAAATTATCTAGAATTGACACCAAACATATTTGGTGTGAGGTAAGGGTCAAGATAAATTCTGAATATGGATATGGGATTATTTAGAAGCATTTATTGAAAAGACAGACCTCCCACTGCACTGAAATGTTACCTTTGTCATAAATTAGATCACCATATATGTCTGGGTCTGTTTGTTTTCATTAGTTGGGTTATCTGTCTTTGATGTAATACTCCATTGTCTTAATCATCATGCTTTATAATAGGTTTGATTCTTGTTACTTGGTACTGTAAGTATTCCAGTTGTTAATGTTTCTTCTAGATTGAAGGGCTATTTTTGGTCCTTTGCATTTCTATATAAACTTTAGAATTCCATCTATCAATTTCTTTAGGGGAAAAAAAAAGCTGGAATTTTTGTTGGGAGTGCATTGAATCTATTAAGTACTCTTTGGAGAAGTAATATTGAATCTCCCACTATAGAAACATGGTATAACCATTTATTTATGCTACTTTAATTTTTCTCAATAGTGTTTTGCAACGTGAAGTAAAAATATCTTGCACATTGTCTCCTGGATTTATTCCCAAATATTTGATTTTTTAAAGTGTTATCATTAACAGTTTCATTTTATAGTTTCCTTTCTCTTTGTGACCAGCATATAGAAATACAATTGCTTTTTTATGTATTGACTTACACCCTATAACCTTGCTAAATTCATTTATTCTAATATTGTGTCTGTATATTCTTTTGGACTTTTCAAGTACTGTATCACACCATCTGTGTTACAGATGAATTTCTTCTAATGCCAATGATTTGATTTTCTTGCCATTTCACCCTAAGATCTCCAAAAAAATGGCAAATAGAAGTGGTGATACTGGGCATTCTTGTCTCATTTCTGATCTCAGTGGGAAATTTTTAATGTTGTACCATTGATTATGTTGGCCACTGAAGACCTTTATAGTTTTATTAAAGATATTTTTCTATTTCAGTTTTATTAAAAGTTATATCATGAATTGGTGGTAAATTTTGTTAAATGTATTTTCTATATTGATCAAGGTATTCAGTTTTTCCTTATTGTGTTAATTTGATTAATTACATTAATTTTCTCATCTTTCATGGCCCTTGCATACTTGAAGTAAACCTCTCTTGGTCCTGATGTATTATCCCTTTAATATTGTTAGATTCAGTTAGCTATTTGTTAAGGAATTAATATAAGTTATCTTTGCTAATTTTTTTTTTAAATTGAAGTGTAACTGACATGCAATATTACATTAGTTTCAGGTATAAACATAGTAATTTTTACATTTATAAAGTTATAAAAGGATCACCATAAAGGCTAATAATTCTGTCACCATACAAAGTTAATATGATATTGTCTGTATTCCCCATGCTGTCTATCACATCCCCATGACTTACTTATTTTGTAACTAGAAGTTCGTACCTCTTGATTCCCTTCACTCATTTAGCCCACCTTCCAACCCCACCTCTTCTGGCAACCATTAGTCTGTTCTCTGTATTTGAGTCTGTTTTTTGTTCTGTTTATTCTTTTTTTTTTTTTTGTGGATATTTTTGTCCTTTATTTTTCTATTAAGTTTTTTACTTTAATTCCGGTATTGTTAAAATACAGTGTTATGTTACATTAAAATACATAAAATACATATGTTATGTTACAGGTGCATAACATAGTGATTCAACAATTCTGTATATCACTCAGTTCTCATCATAAGTGTACTCTTAATCCCCATCATGTTTTATACTAATCACCCCCACCTCACTTCTGGTAACCATCAGTTTGTTCCCTATACTTAAGAGTCTGTTTCTTGGTTTCTCTCTTTTTTTTTTTTTTTTTTTTACTTTGCTCATTTGTTTTGTTTCTTAAATTCTACATTGAGTGAAATCCTAGTGTATTTGTCTTTCTCTGACTGAATTATATCACTTAGCATTATACTCTCTAGCTCCATCCATGTTCTTGCAGATGACAAGATTTAATTCTTTTTTTGTGGCAGAATAATCTCCATCATGCATGTGTGTATACACACACGCGCGCGCGCGCGCACACACACACACACACACACACCCCACATCTTTTTTTTATCCCTTTGAATTAGTGTTTTTGTATTTTGGGGGCAAATACCCAGAGGTACAGTTACTGGATCATAGAGTATTTTTATTTTTAACATTTTGAGGAACCTCTATACTGTTCTCCAGAGTGGCTGCACCAGTTTACATTCTCACTAACAGTATAAGAGTATCCCCCTTTCTCTGCAACCTCCACAATACTTGTTGTTTCTTGTGTTAGTGATTTTCGCCATTGTGACAGGTGAGAGATGATACCTCATTATAGTTTGGGTTTGTATTTCTATGATCAGTGATGTTGAGCATCTTCTCGTGTGTCCGTTGGTCATGATTTGTTTTGTTCTTTAATTTTTTAAATGTTTATTTATTTTTGAGAGAAATAGAGACGGAGTTTGAGTGAGGTAGGGGCAGAGAGAGAAGGAGACACAGAATCTGAAGCACATTCCAGGTTCTGAGCTGTCAGCAAAGAGTCCCATGCAGGGCTCGAACTCACAAGTTGTGAGATCATGACCTGAGCTGAAGTAGGCACTTAATTGAGCCACCTAAGCACCCCTGCTTTGTTTTTTTGGAATCCACATTAAGTTAAATCATATGGTATTTTTCTTTCTCTGTCTGATGTTTCACTGAGCATAAGAGTCTCCACCTCTATCCATGTTGTTGAAAATGGCAAGATTTCATTCATTTTATGACTAATATTCCATTATATACAGAAATATATAATACATAGATACAGATATGCCTCACAGGTGTGAGATGATCTCTCATTATGGTTTTTATTTCTATTTCCCTGATGATTAGTGATATTAAGCATTTTTCATCTTTTCATATATGCCTGTTGCCATATGTTTGTCTACTTTCAAAAAATGTCTATTCAGATCTTCTGCCCACTGTTTAATTGAACTTTTTTTTTTTGGCTGTTGACTTGTATGAGTTCTTTATATATTTTGGATATCAGCCTACTAAATTCTTGAATTAAGGTTACACTGGTCTCATATAAGATAATTAGCACTTGTTAATATTTTTCCTGTTATCTGGAAGAATTTGTACAATATGGCTATTAATATTTTCTCATATGTCTGGAAGAATTCACCAGTAAAGCTATTGGGCCTAGAGTTTTCTATGTGGGAAATATTTTAAATAATACATTCCATTAGTAAAGACTGTGCTATTAATTTTGTTTGAAAGACAATGCCTAACAGCAACCTAATTCATTCATTGGTCTTCTCTGATGCTATTCTCTTCCCCCTGCTCACTGCTTTTCTGGTCAAAATGAGCTTTTGTCCGTTTATCCCACCATAGGGTCCCGGAACATGCTTTTTCTTTACCAACATGTTTTTTCTTCCACTTCCTTCATGTAGTCAGTACATAGAATTCTTCATCAGGGTCCATCTCAAATATCACCTCCTCAAAGACATATTTCCTGGGGCGCCTGGGCGGCGCAGTCGGTTAAGCGTCCGACTTCAGCCAGGTCACGATCTCGCGGTCCGTGAGTTCGAGCCCCGCGTCAGGCTCTAGGCTGATGGCTCAGAGCCTGGAGCCTGTTTCCGATTCTGTGTCTCCCTCTCTCTCTGCGCCTCCCCCATTCATGCTCTGTCTCTCTCTGTCCCAAAAATAAATAAACGTTGAAAAAATATTAAAAAAAAAAAAAGACATATTTCCTAACACACTTGGTCTCTCCCCACCAATGAGACCAGAAAATCAGAAAATCTGGAGATGTTTCCTAAAATTTGCATTTTTAATATTCCTTCTGTATTTCTTAGGTATTCTGAAGTTTAAGGACCTTGGACTTAGTGCTTGAATAGGGTAAAGCATATGCAAATTAAAATGGGATGGTTACTAATATTGGACAAGGAGGTAAATAAGATCCCTTCTTTGTAAAGAAACCCCTTATATGTGCTTTCTGGGCTCTCTATTTTTTTTAACCCTTTGAGTGATTCCTTTTATGTTTTACTAAGGAACACTGGGCCATAGGGAACCTGACATGAGGAATATAACATACACAACTCATTTGGGATCTTTGAGATAGACTTACAAGAACACTACCCTTAGATTAATGAGAACAACTCTGCACCAAGAGCCCTACCTTGCTAGTTTTACAGGATCATTGTTAGAATCAAATGAAAAAAAAAAAAGTGTGAATACGGTTCATAAATTACAAAGTGAAAGATCAGCCATGGATGGATAAACTATAAAAATCTAAATTTGCTTGAAACTTAAAGAAACCTGAGATTGCAGAACAGTCAAATTGCCTGAAAGACAGATACCTTCAAGGAGATCAGCCTCAGAAACAGAGAGAAATCATGACTCTTGTAGGCTCTTCACCATGGACCCATTAAGGTATTCATAGGAAAGACAGGACAGGGTGAGACTCAAAGTTTCCCGCCCAGAGGGGGGAAGCAGCCTCTAAAGGAAAAACTGTTTCTCAGTAGTGTCAGAATTTAATGAAACTGCAGTTCATACAGCTGATGTCAGAGAACTGATATAGTATCAAAAGTGTGAGAACCTTAAAGTGCCCTCCATTTAAAATTTCTGAGGTCTAAAACAGGACAGTAAGTACCATTTGGTCTCAGAACTCACCATCTGCTGAAGTATTAAATATTTGTCACTTTCAGACTGCAATGCTGATCCTTAGTAGATGCTCAGCAAATACTTGAGGAATAAATGAATGGATAAACCAAGAGCCTTTAACCGAAAGACTGGAGTGCAAATGCCATTGGAGTTTTTCAATGAAGGAAATTACAAGAGTTAAAAATTTTTCTAAATTCGATTATATACTTGCTAGTTGGGTTTAACCCAGATTAATATAGGATAATCTTACTTCATTAAATCTAGGTAGGATTTCAATACACCATACATGCTTTCTGTTTTATCTTCCACTGACCCTTATACAAAGTTTATTCCTGTTCATCAACACACACACGTACACATTCACTTGCATATCAAGCATTTTGCAAACTTAGTAGCTTACAACAGATTTGGGGGTAGAGGTAAGCAGGGGCACCTGATACAGATGATTCCTTTTGTCCTGCCGCTGCTCCTTAAGATTCTCCTCTCTTCGAAGTCCTGACCCCGAGTCAGACCCATTCCCTGCAGAGACTCATTTACCCCAGTGGGCTAATCAAGGCATTTTCCAAACAATGGCAGCTTGATCCCAGAGTCACTTTTTCCTACCAACTCTGAGAACTCAATTTTCTCCCTCATTACATTCCCCCGCGAGCCAAACAGTTACAGCTCCTAGCAAATTTATTTCATAAATTCTCTCCCTCAACTTTAGGTGAGTAAAAGAAAAGAAGCACGATGACGAACAGGTCCGTACCCTTGGCCCAGCCCGTCTCTTTCCCTCCTAATCTAGGGCTGTGCGGGGCTCTTCGTTGAGGCCCCAGAAGACTGTGGCTTCCAGAATTTTTCCTGGTGTTTACTAACTTCCTCTTTGGGTGGAAGAGCCCCCCCATAAGGGGTTCCTCCCCATTCACACCAAGCAACTAGCTCCTCTCTCCCTGCTGCAGCTGTTTTGATTCTAAAACGTGCCTTTAGATTTAACAAACAAAGGTTCCCCTTCAGGGTTCTTTGGACACACAATTCCCGTTTATAAAACAAAGCCCAAACCCCTCACATGTGAAGGAACTGTTTCAGGACTGTTAACCTCCAGCTCAAGGGGGCCAGCAAGGCCCACCTCTTCCTGACCCCACCTCCAGTTTCTAACCTGGCCATCTGGAGATCACTGTGGAGGGCTACCATAGGGAGCCCCATCCTGCCCGTGGTCAGAGCCCTTGGTAATATTGTGCTTTCCTCGAATTTGCCCCATACAGGCTGCAGCCTGTTGGATGCCAGGATATGTGTGTCTAAGGTTCTTAAAGATTCTATTTCTGACCATATTCTCCACACAAAAGGCAACTCAATGGGCGTCATCTCAGACAAGGTCACAGGGCTTATTCTGGGGAGTTGTGTGACTAGAGGTGGACCCCTTCTTGTTTCTGCTACCTGTGGGCTTGTCTATTGTGTCTTTAACCTCCAGAGGCTGTATTCACTCAACACATCCAGACCCAGCTTTATTCTGGGTCTTACCCCAGTGAAAGTTATTGGTGCTTCCTTTCCTTCTGCCTCTTGAGATGGCTTTCCTAATAATGACTACATGTGGCTTATTAGAAAAATTTAATCTTAAACTTTTTTAACATGCAGTGATCTTTTATTCTACCTGTAAGACAGTGTAGTTAGGACCTAGATAAGTCCCAGTGCTTCTCAGTATCACTGATACCAGTAGGAGTATGGTCAGGCATTCTGTTCCAAAAAATTTCAGGATGGTGCTCAATTTGTGACCACATGATTACTTTTAAGAATAGTCTCTAAAAACTTTCTACCACTCATCTTTTTGTTTCGGCCTTTGAAGCTTGACAGTCCTGTAATATTTTAGTATATTCCTAACTCAGAATCTTTCTCTCTAAGCTCTGGCACAGCACTGCATGTAAACATCTTTATTTTCTCACAGAGAAATGCCCTAAAAGATCTGGGGGGGTGGGGGGGAGGGGGAGAAACCATGGTAGGTATCTGTTTTCTAGGGGATTCTGTCTTGCCTTGAAGTAGGACAGGGACCATTTGGAAGTCTCATATATCAGCCATAGCCCTCCTTTCTTCACCAATGTAAACTAATTTTTTACAGGAGGTAATTACGTATTTCTCAATATATGATGCTTCTTCAAGGGGAAACTTGCTGAATTTTGTCACTCTCCTAAGCTTGTGCAATGTTGACCTTCATGACAAAATGTCTGGAAAGCTGTAAGTCTGATGTCAGATATCTTTGATTTTTAGGTAGTATTTCCAGAACAGATGCCAATGCGGGGCTATCCTCTATTTCCTTAAACCCAAATACTCAACTGTTTTGGAGTCATCTGCTTGGCTTCAATGCTTTGGAGTCAATGCTTGGCTGATGGGGCATTTCAGCTGGCCAAAAAAAAGATAAGTGTACTCTGAGTTGATTTTTCCTGGAAGAGCTCCCAGACATGGGTAGTTGATGGCTGAGATCACCAACTCTGAGCTCAGAATACAGTGCCTTGAATTACTAATTCTATAAAGTGGGGAGCCTCCAGTCTCCCCTGTCACTTTGCTTAGTCCTTAAGCTCTCCTAGGTCTTCTTTACTCTTGGCTCCTGAGGCCTCACGTGTTTTCACTATGCTCTCCACGGCAGCGCAGATGCAAAACCTTCCCCTCCTCACCAGTCTCTACACAAGTGGAAGCTCACCAAGAACTTGACCAATTTGATATCTTTAAAGTATTGAGAATTTGTAG